GTTAAAAAAAGGAAACATATCCATATGTGTGTGTGTACACCCATGTACCCACACACATACAACCAGTTAAAGGATGATCATCAAAGAACGTTGCCAAAGCTGTGTAATAGTGGCACCTACTGGTAAAATAATTTCCTAACCCAAAGTATTATCTTAAAAAAGAAAACTCATGATTTGCCTATACAGTCATTTCAGCCATTAGTCAGGAAATATGTTTAAAGCCTCATAAGGAACTCTTGCAAGTTATGGTTCATTGTGGTCTAAAATGCAAGCTATAAAAGGAGTAAAGATTATCTCAATATCCTTTCATGGAGTGATCTCGAGCATATAGTGTTAAGTGAAAAAAAAAAGGTAGAAAAAATGTGCAGAGTAGGCTACCACTTATTGAAGAAGGGGAAAGGGTTACAAATAGACATACAGGTTTACTTATATTTTAAAAATGTAAAGATAACCCCCCAAAATAAGAACTAATGGCTGTCATAAGGGAAGGGACGGAAGCAGGTTGGAGGGAGAAGAATTATAAGTGGATGTCTCTAAATCAATGGTTCTCAATGGGGGGATATTCTGCCTGTGCCCCCAGGGGATGTTTGGTGTCACAATTTTTAAAAATATATTTTATTGATTTTTTTACAGAGAGGAAGGGAGAGGGATAGAGAGTTAGAAACATCGATGAGAGAGAGAGATACATCAACCAGCTGCCTCCTGCACACCCCCTACTGGGGATGTTGCCCACAACCAAGGTACATGCCCTTGACCGGAATTGAACCTGGGACCTTTCAGTCCGCAGGCTGATGCTCTATTCACTGAGCTAAACCGGTTAGGGCTGGTGTCACAATTTTTTAGTGTCACCATTAGGGGTTGGGAGATTTGTACTATTAACATTTAGTAAGAAGAAGCCAAGGAGGCTCCTGCACATCCTACAATGCATAGGTACAGGAGCTGCCTCCAGCCCGCAGGCCACAATCACTGGATGGGGCCTGCTGGCCAACCTCCCGGTCTCTCCCCTTGGCCAGCAAGCCCCCATCGCCTGATTGGGGCCGGGTCCCGGGCTGGGACGGGGAACCAGGGGTGAGTGGTAGCAGACGCAGCCCCTTTCCGAGGGGAGCTGAGGGTCAGCTCCCTCCTCGGGGCCAGCAGCCAACCTCCCGGGTGCCTCCCCCCACTGGCAGGCCCCAATCAGCCCACTGCCTGCCCACCACAGTGGCAGTTGGCCCTTCCCCCTGGCCCTGATCAGGGCCTGCCAGCCAACCTCCCAACCCCTCCCCCAAGCCAGCAGGCCCTGGGCTGGAATGGGGAACTGGGGGTGGGTAGCAGTGACCAACCACTTGCGGTACCCAGGCAGGGGGATGAGACCTCTCGTTGGCTACCTGGGGGCAGGGGTGACAGGGACAGAGGTGCAGTGAGAATGCGGGGTGTCTGCTGAGCTTGCTCTCACTCCCCCGGCTACCTTTTCCCAGGATGCCAGGGCTCGCACAACAGGGAAGCCCCCGCGCTCAGGTGCCGGATGCCCATGAGGAGCCCACCCTGCACCTGTGCGGCCTCTTCCAGGTAAGCCAGGCCACAGCCGCTGGCACCTCAGGGGCTGGATGGGCCCCTGTGGGTTTGTGCAAGAGCCGGTCTGCAAGGCTGGCCGGGAGACAGTGCACTGCCCACCCAGCTTCTGTGCAACGCTGCTGGGTGACCCAGAGGCCCACCCACACTGTGCCCTGGCCCACAGCGTCCGGCTGTGCTCACCGCATCTCCACGTGGGGACGTGGGCGCCGTGACTCAGGCAGAGAGGGACGCGTGGGGGCCAGGCAGCCCAGGTGCTACCCAGGGCCCAGAGGTCAGCTGGGACCTGCCCTTCCATGCCAACACTCACACTTTGATTGCCAGCCAGGCCTAGGGACCGCACCCATGCACGAATTTCGTGCACCAGGCCTCTGGTATGTCTAATAAGAAATTTGTATCTAGAATATGTAAAGAACACTTATAATCTACACTAATAAAAGAGAAACATGGTAATTGCCGTACGAACACTACCCTTTTCATTGGCTAATCAGCGAGATATGCAAATTAACTGTTAGCCAAGATGGCGGCCGGCAGCCAGGCAGCTTGAAACTAACATGAGGCTTGCTTGCTTCAGTGACGGAGGAAACCAACGTTCCCATCTGCCTCTATTCTATATAGTAAAAGGGTAATATG